CATTCCTCTCCTGACCATTAGGTGGCTGAGCTGATTAGAAAGAAGATACAGAGAAGATTATCACCTCTGAAAATGACCCTGCAATAAAATTCTTTATAGTGTTTAACCAGTAAGCACTTTTATTGTTGATTCTGAAGCCATTAAGACTACATTATGTTGGATTACAAGATTTTGGCTACATCTCCCACATTTGCATGCAGGCATTACATTTGCAAGGTTTTCTCAGAAAAACAGAGCACGTGCCTAAAATGCATGAAGTTACATGATTATAACATGGAAGCAGCATGTCAGTTACAGAAATTTGTACCACATGTACCAGTAACAAACCCACACCCCCAAGTAAAGCTTCTTTATCCCTCAAAAATCTTACTGCTTCCTCTGTCCCACATCTCCATGCCCCAGCTGTGGATCAGCCCACATCCCCACTGTTTCTGAAAACACTACATCTTTCTAAACAAATGAAAAATTAAAAAATTGAGTACAGTACATTCCCCCCCATAAAAACTAAAACATTTCCTAAAACATTTCTCCCTTACAACCCTTCTCCTCATCTCCCAAATAAAAAAAAACTATTGTAATCTACACATTTGTTCAAGCAATGTTATATACTAGGAATCTCTATTGCATTATTCAAAGGTATATCAGTAACAAACTTCTAAAAAAACTAGGATGACCCAAAAATTCCCCTTGCCCCAAAACTACAGAGAACTGAAAATGCTATACTGCATTATCACACTTGCATGCATGGATCCTGAGCCACCTCTATTTATTCACCTTGAGCCCCTTTTAATAAATAACTGTCCAGCAGTAACATCCAGAAGTGTGCTGTCTCCTCCAAATTAAACTCTATATTTACAGAAGTAGGGCTGTATTCTCAGTGAAATGTTTCTTTAAAAAAACCAAAAAAACAAACAAACCACAAAAAAAACCCGAAGTAACAACAATAAAACCAGCAAGTGATTAAAGAGAGAAAGCGCATTACTGATCGTGTTGTGTGAAGACCAACAGGACTAAAAAGCATTAGGAGCACCAGGTGCACATGCATTTGAACTGGTACAGTTCATGAAATAATGTCATTCATTGTTATGCTTGCTCTTTCACATGAGAAGCTGATTCTTTTTCCTTTTTTTTTTTTTCTTTTTCTATTTAGGACCGTCTGCTCTGCAGGCTACTCCCACAGATGGCAACACATGAACTGAGCTTGAAAAATGGCCATAAATATGATTTGATCAATGTGGTTCTGTATCAGGTTTAAACACACTGAATTTCCCTCCCCACTGCTTTGCACCTTGTGTCATTTCACATCTGTACTAAGTGTGAGACCAAGGTCTCCTGAATCCACATTTTCCTCTAGGATTTTGGGAAGAATCAGATATTCACTTTTTTAGCAAGTGTCAAATGGTGCTATATACTCGAAAATACATGGGAATCATTCCCACATGAGAACATTTCTTAGCAGTGTAACTACTGTACTCACAATTAGCATATACAAGAATGCCAAAACAAACATTGAAACAACAGGCCCATTTGAGGCACTTTGTCCCTTCCTTTATTTTCAGACATTTCTCAGCTTTTGGACTCCAATATTACTGCCTTGATTTCAGTTGGTCTATTTTGATTTATACCAGGTAAGGATCAAGCTCAACAGATTATAAAATAACAACTACTTTCTCCTACTGTGCTGTTACAGTGCCTGAGATCACTGCAAATGGGTACATTTCTGTACAACCAAAAGGCCTTTCTGTAGGCAGTGCAGCATATTCACTTCTCCCACCTTCACAAAGAAAATTCAGTTTAAGGCAAAAAAGTTCACTTTCCCTTCCTGCTTTACCAGCAAACTAAACCTGCAGTGCTCCTGTCACAGAGGCTGCAGCCAAAACTTGAGTTACACAACAAAAGCCTAATTTTTTTCAGTGAGAACGCAGGAAACTCCATTTATGCCAAATCTAATTCTCAAATCCATGGTGGTTCCTGCTTTATCATACATGAATCCATTCACCTGGGATTTGGCAAAGCCAAAGCTGCTCCTATTCCTGCTGCACTTGCAAGTTGTGCAGAATTGTTAGTATATGTTATCTTTGCAGGACTGTCTACTCCAGCAAAGACCAATAATCTCCTCAATTGCAAACAACTGGCATGTTGGATGTGTGACTCTGAGAAGCCCTGCCTGAGCCAACAGCTCCATGTCACTGGTAGGGAGTCAAATTCCACCAACACTGACATTAGGGCAAATTGCCAACTCTACTCACCTCTCCCAAGATCTCTACAGGTGCAAGACAAGACAAAATCTGGCTCCCAGGCCTTTTTAATTGGCTAAAGTCAACTCTTGACCCACCAAGTCACTGCTTCAATCTCACTGCTGCCTGCTGATAAGACACTTGGCATCCCCAGAGCAGTGGTCTCTTGCAGCCCCACAAGAAATTAAAGCTCTAATGCCTGCTTTGTCCTGGCATGGGTATCAGTTTTATTGTCCTCTGACATTTCAATTTCTAGGTAGCATTTGCTAGCTAATTATTCTCACACAACCAACATGAGAAGCTGTTAGGTTCACTGTACATACACTTTACAAATGGTCTTAGACCCAGCAAGGTTACTGTAGGGTTTCCACATTACCAGTATGATGCCCATCAATGATCTCTGTTTGTGAAGCACCTTCCCCCACCCTTCCTCCTGCCCTCTCACTGCAGCCATCCAGTTCCTTTCACTGGGGTAAAAACAGAGTTTCACCAGAACTGCAGTGGAAAATAGGATTTGTTTTTAATGTCACCTTTCAGCTGAAAGAAACAGAGATAGGTGAAGACTCTGTGTCACACTGGCTAAAAAAGGTCTTTCTATTCATAGGAGTGCAACTCTCAAGCAATTTTTGTAAAGCAAGAGAAACCAAACAAAACCCCCCACAGTTCCCACACACAAGCACAGGCACTCACACACACACACACACATACTCTTCTTTCCCCTCCAAACAGAAATCCATTCTCATGAACCAAATTATGCAGACCCTATTCAAGTGTCTAAAAAGAATGAGGATAGGGTTGAGTGCATCCCAATTCTCCTTTCTGATCACAATGAAGTCACAGGTCAGCAAAGCACTTGGGCATAAGGAAGTTTCTCTTGACCTGCAGGATATTTTAACACATGCAGAAATGCTTTGCTGGCTCTGGCCTACATTAGGAACAGCTCCAAGGCCAGCTGGCACTCACAACCATGATTCCACTACCTGCACCAATATACATGAGGTAAGAGCTAAGCTCAAGAGAGCAGAGCAGTGCAAGAGGAGAAAGAGGCTCTGTGGTTCTTCTGAGTCATGTTTGACAGCCTCAGCTGCAAACACATGGCATGTCACAGTGATCAGCATAGACTGATGAGAGCTTGGTGGTGTTCTGCAAGTGGGCCTTCCACTGGAAACATTAAGCTTGATTTCTGTTTGTGCCAGTACAACTTTATATGACTGTAACAACTGCATGAAATGGTCTTAAATCTGGAGCAACTGCACAATACAGTTAGTGTTTTATCCTAGACTTATGTGCCAATAACTCTTGTGATGTGTTACACACCCACACACAGATGGAGAAATAGGTATATGCTGTGTCATAATGTAACATATCATTATTTCTACAACTATCCTAAAAACACAGCCAGTGCCAAAGCAGACCAGCATAGGTTCCCTCTCCAGTACAATAGGTAGTGGTGGAGAAAAAGCAAGCTCAGGTGTTATTTTGATTCACTAGGGAATGCTCTGGGCACAACCCACTCAGGTATTGCTCAGTGAACACTAATAATGGGCTGGCCCGCAGTCCCGCGTCAGGAATTCCCACCTCTGTGTGGGTGCTCACATCCCCTTCTGGTGACACCCAGAATTGAGGGCATGGGAGAGCAGCCAAGCATGTAAAACAGGGATAAAAGCTCATGCTCAGTCTTCACACCATGCCTCTCAGCCACAGGTAGACTGCAGGGTTACATACTAGTGGGATCTGAACTGTCTAAAGAAATAGCTGCTCAAAGAGGAATTTATGTTTTAATCACAAAAGGATGGAATTCTTCTTGGCAGTAAGATCAAAAGGAAATTTATCCAATCAAATAGCAATAGAATCAGTCCCTCAATGCTGCTGATATAAATAACACATTCTGTTTGCTTACTACAGCATCTGTGCTCCAATTCCATGTGTGTTTGCTTCCTTTTGGACTACTCTTTCTATAAATGAAAGCTAAACACCAAGCCAAAATATTTTTCTCAAAATTCCTCTGAACTTTGGACAAATATGAACTCAAGTCTTGTTAAAATCTGGATTTCTAGGTAGAGTATCTCACTTTCAATGGTTATCCTACCATTTCTAAACATATGCAGAGATAGCAGGCTCAAAACTGATTTTTCCAGGGGAAAAAATATATCCCTCTTCTATGATAGATTATTGAGCTAGATTATTGGCACATAGTCTTATGTTACCTCATTACTGTTATAGGCCTCTTAAAACTTCCGTGGAAATTCCACCTGCAGAACCAAAGGCAGAAAGTTATCTTTGCAATTGTTGATCCATATTAACATCTGGATGCAGTACTGTTGGGGAAAAAAAAAGCAAATTCCTCAATGAACTATGTTGAACCAACTTGTAGGCGGCAGCTATCGAAGCCACTGATGCACGAGTACCGGCTAAAGTTATTAATGAATGATCTGACACACCAAGTCAGACAACTGTCCTAGCTAAATACATCTTCAAAAGTATACACACAAAAGCTGCTACTGTATCTAGATGATCATTTTGGTTTGTTTCTATACCCCATAGCTCTGAATCTTTCCACTGAATGTTTACTCAGCACGTGTGGTATAAATATATTCATACACTAAAATTGACACTTGGCAATATTTTTTTTCCCTTTTTTTTTTTCTTTTTCTTTTTGCTGACCAGCAACAAATTCTGATATCTTTAACTGTAAACCAATACTCAATAAATATGCTGTGTTCAGCAAAGAGACGCGTTGTGTCGATCAGGTTTTGCTGCACTCTAAGCCATGGGCTGCGGGGGCGGGCGTGAAGGAGGAGGTCCAGGAGGGGCTCGGGATGGAGGTGGCCCAGGAGGTGGCTGCCTGGAAGGAGGCTGCAGAGACACGGGAGAGGAAGGGCTCCTTGGAGCATTGTTGAGGGGAGCGGTGTCGCGCAATGGCAGCTTCGGTGGTGGGCTGTAAGGGGCAGAGGTCCCGTCCGATTTCACACGGGTGAAGTTTATGCACCTTCCCTAGAGGTGAAGAAAAACTCATGATTAGAAAGTAGGTATTTTGACTCATCAGTAGTTAGTCAAAGGTACTATAAGCAGAGAGGTCAGGCTACAGTTCATCCAGTATCATTCTCTGGGTCCTAGAAATTACATTCAAACCACACTGTATTAAAGTTTGTACTTTCCTTGATTTTCAGAGCTACTGCCTGTAGAGAATAGCCTAGGACTGGCTTAAACCAAAAGGGACCACATTGGGACTGTGTTCGCTCTCTGCTGTGCTACTAGAGCAGAACATGTCTAAAGTGACAGCTCCACCCAAACCATGCCTGCCTTGGTGGGATTCCTGACTGCAAAGCTGTGCTTGAAAAAAACTCATAAAGGATTATACCAGAGCAATGACATTAGCAAAGACAATCCATAGCTCTCATTTTCAAAGTGATCCTAGCCTGGCTGATGTCTGTGCTTTGAACATTACACTAGGACAGTACATGTCTTCTGTGCTCCAGTGTAGATGTGGCTCCCCTCAGAAACACCAACAAGGTGTGGGACTTGCACAGAGGGCTCTCCAATGAGCATGTTTTCAGGATGGATGCGGGATGCAGACAGGCAGGACCTGATGGGAGGACTGTGTTCGGAAATTTTAAAACAGGAGTAGCTTAGATTTAAAAAAAGCAAGCACTGGGGATGTCCTAGTCAGCTAGGGGCTAAATGCAAATACATCAGGGTTTCCTTTAGCCAAAATAAAGCTTTGCATATGTTCCCACTATCCAAGTTCCTGACAGGAAGAAAGAAAGAGAGAGAGACCCCAAAGACCACCTAGCCCCTCCTGTGGGAAGCAGCCAGAGGCTCCCAGGTAATGCAAAAGCTACATGGCAACCTCAGTGAGGCACCTCAGATAGGCTGCACGCTGCAATCAACAAACTAAATTCAGCTTGAGGTTATAACAACATCCCCTGAGCAAATTTGGGGAAGGATTCCAAATATAGAAAACTTATCTCAAAGGAGCTGTAGATCATGATCCTCCCCAGCTACCAATGGCTGTGGCAGCAGGAATACAAAAACCCACATCAGTCACTGATTCTCTTGGCTCAGTGCTGCCCAGCATGAGAAAACTCTGAAGGTGTTTAGAGAATGAGCTGAGTTTCTGTGGCAAACTCACAAATCACAATTTCCTCAGGAAACAAGGCAAAAGCCATCACAGCAGAACCTCAACTGTTTTGCTGAGTGGCTTCCAAAGCCTACACCTTTGTTCGTGAAAACTATTTATTTAAAAAGAGGGGAATCACTCAAAGTCTATTACTTCTCAGAAGAAAAGCAAGCAGTGTTTCAAAAGAAGCTTGTGTAAGCTCCAGAGCTCAGAAAATGATTTTACAAATGCAGTAAAACCCAAAGGGTACCGCCCTACCACTTACTTGGACTGAATGGCTCTGGGCTTCCAGAGCTCAGCTGCAGACACGAATTGTTTGAATGGACATGTTGTTGCCTGCACATGATACACACTCAGTAGTTCTCTGTCCCAGCTTTCACCATTGCAATTCACCACTACACTTAAACAACAGTGTCAATGAATAGGATAAAATTCTCTTCTTAAAAATCCAGGCTTGCTATGCCAGACTTTGGTTATGAACCAGGTTCATGGCAATACTATACTGGGGCCAGAGCGTTTGCATGGAGGCTAAAGGCAAAAGCCAAGGTCTTTGTTACTTCTGCAAAGATAAACCATTGGATCAAAAAAGCCAAGTCAATGCTTTGCTCTACTCCACCACAGAACTCAAGTCCTCACCAGCACTGCAGCAGGGAGCCATCCTTGCCAGGTATTTGTCTTCTGCTGTGCTCCACTGTATTCAGAGCCCACTTGGAAATTCAGCAGTATTTACTGACGTGCGACGAATGTTACAGATCTATTTAACAGCTATACATCAAATTCATTTTAGAAAACTCAGCCTTAAAATTTATAAAGTTATGAATTTAGAGCAGCTAAATAACCAGTCAGGATGAAAGAAAAAAAAAAACGAAAAAGAAAAAAGGTCAGAGGTGCTCAGATGAGATGCACCATATGGGCAGGGAAAAATTTAGGACAGAACAATCTCCCTCATAGTAAATGCAAAGCTGCAAACCCAACACTAGTGCTTTTGCCTACAAGCCTTTCCTGCCCCTCTGTTGTGTCTCTCTCACAAACATCAATTCCAAATATATTCATAGTCTATAATCAAAGGGGATCCCATAAATCTGTTTGCATTACTTTCACTTCAGTTAAAGTGATAGGCGACGTCAAACTGCTGCCAGTTTCTGCCACACTCACTGATTTGTCAGACAGATGGGTAATTTAAAGGCCATGCGCTGCATTGTGTCATGAAAAATACGGTTGGGCTGGGAGAGTCTGACAGACAGAGGCTTGGATGATCGATGTATGTATTGTGACACTTCCTCACAAAAGATGATCACTGTTAGCCTACAATCTCATATATCAAAGACTTCTGCTGAATACTGGAGCAAATCCTCCTGAGCACTTCAAGCAGCCATTGATAAAATGGGGCCAAACTCTTAAGCCAGTGTCAGGATTAACAGCTGAAAAGGGAAAGGGAAGAACAAATGATAATACATCATAAGTGATAGTTTGGACTTATCAAGTGTATTTTGTCAAAGGATTTCTAGGTTGAAGAATTAAGCCCTCCACACATCACAGTCTCCTTATAACAGAGTGCCTCTGTTTTTCTACCTAACATGCACATCCCTCTGGGGTTAGTTTATTTAAAAAAAAATCCACTATGTTTCTCAAATAAACATGCTAACCACAGGATTTTTAATATTCTCTGCTTGAAAGAATTAAGTAATTCCTTTCCAAAGGCATATAAAGGCTTTAAACCCTGGGAACACAGACAGAAATTAATTACCCTGCACACTTATCTCTGCTCTTTCTGCACAGATGATTAACAGTGATTAAGAAGCCACCACCACCACGTTAGCAGTGGTAATGGTGTATGTTTTTCCAGAAGCACGGAACACACCAAGCGTTTCAGGGAAGGTGTCAGAGCTGCAAGGTGCAGCAACACCAGGATGATGTCAGGCACCCCAGCTGTGGTAGCTGTGTCATTGTGTTCTAGAGGCAGATGCTGTGTGTGAGGCCAGCCCTGCTGGCTGGGCCCCGCTAGAGGCGCGACCCGCACCGCGTTCGGCCATTCAGGCACCAACCGAAGGTCACAGCGTGCCATATGGAGCTACGCCCTCGCTGCAGCCCACATCTGCACCCTCTTCCTCATGCACTATTATTTTGCCTCCCCATATGTCCATCCACTTGTTAGGCTCTTGTTATGCTGCTTGCCAAATTGGCTTTTCAAAAAGTACAAATACTGAAGCAGTGGGATCTGCCCTCGTCCCAACTCCAGCTTTTATCCCAGTGTAACAATCACATGTGCAATTCAGGCACTTTGTACTTCTAGGCAAAGTCTCCTCGACCACCTAGGATGTGTTATTGTGTGTGGTTTAAGGGGGGGAGGAAGGGAGGAGCCTCCTGAAAGCCACCGCCTTGTGTTGCTGGGCTATCTTCATCACAGTGCTCACTACACCATTCCCCAGCACTCATTTCCCCAAAATCTTTAGCTACTACTCAGCAAGTTTTCAATTGACAGAAATGACTGTTAAAGAATCCAGGCAATTCAAAGAGTGCCATGGGGAAGTCTGTTCACCCATGATACTAGGAATACTTCAGCAAAAAGAATTTTAAAAATCCAGGCCATCTGCCAGTAGCTGTCCCTTTTCTCTCTTCATTTTAATACATGCATTGGTGTTTACAAAAATCAAATCCAGTTTCATCTCTGTGCATGACAGTATCCGTGTACACAAAAGTATGCCTGTTTCTTATTTTTAGCTACATTAGCTGACCTAATAAAAGGCATCCTTCCTGTTATAAGTTTTGCTTGATTTTCCATTCCCTCTTGGTTTGGCTTACGGAGTCCAAGTGCTGCAATTTGGATTTGAAGAGGTGTTTATCTGACTGAAAGAGTTAGCTTCACTTTACTAAGTTTTCTTGTCTTTGATCTTTTAAGAATATGATACTTGCATTTTAGAATGGAATAAAATAAGCTATTTAAAGTTTGAGCATGGCCATTCAAAAAACTAGACTACCAAATTAAAAATGAAGTTGCTCCCAGTAAGGAAGTATTAAATTACTAATTGTTATAATATTTTTATAGTTTTATAATTTTATTCTATTTTAAAGTATTGTAATAATATTTAAATTTAAGTAATTTTAATAATTATTGATTATTTATTATAAGTATTATTTAGGATGCTGAAATCCAAAATTAATATAATTTCCTTGGGCTCTCTCTCCAGTTTTGTTATCTATGTTTGTCTATGGGATGAATCTGCCAGCTTGCTATGGATCTGGTTCATCAGCATGTAGCTTCACTTCCTAAATATCTCTCAATAGTTCGGTATAAAAATGTAGCTCTAAATCTCAAAAGAATAGAATCAGATTCTATGCTACTTACAAAACCACAAGAGGGAGCATAAACAAAAAGTCACAATTACTTTAGCTAAGTGAAGGCTTTGATTCACAAACCCAGAAAACAATGAGACAGACACCATTAAAGATCAGTGACTTTTGGAAAAATTGAATTTTGGCAAAATTAGGGACTACCCTGTCTTCTAATAAAGAACCAGTGTTCTAGCAGAAACTCCTACACAGAATATCCTAAACCAGCCACTAGGGGAAACTCATTTATCAGAGGTAGATTATGGATACAACACCTGTACAGTGAAAGAGATGAAGCAAGGTGGTACAGAGTTCCCAATATTTGAGTTCCCTGGGCAAGTGTCAGGATTAGCAGCTGGCTCCTCAGGATCTATGAGCATCAGCCTTTGCCAAAAGCTTCCTCACACTGCACTGCTTCACGCTGACTGTGCACTCAACATGTCATGGCTCATTAAAACCCTCATGGATTTCCTGGGAATTGCACTGATTACCCTGCAGCAGACAGGCTAGAAATTAGTGAGCTGCTGAAACAGTTTGTCACGTA